CCCTCCTTAAGAAGTCTTTCAGTTGCGCTGCATTCTTTATTTTAAAGATGTTCTGAAAAAAATAAGGTTAAGACAAAGAAACTCTGATGTCACTAGTATGTTTGTTTAGCATCTTTTTTCCTGAATATACAGTGGAACCCATGTGATATAACATTAACTAAATTGTTTTAAGGTAACCACAATACAGTTTTCTCACTCCTTGTGCCATTTCCACTGATAAAAAAGTACATGCCCTGGGAAGACTTTTTAAACTTAATGTTATTCATGTTTAAATAAACATGAATATTTATTAAGAAGAAACTGAAATTAGACACCCAAGAATTTAAGGGAAAGAGACCAGAGCAGCATCTGGATATTTCTGAAAATCACTTCCCTTTTTCATTTCTCGCTTCCCTTTTGTTTGTGTGGGTTGAGAACAGGGTATACTTTCCTCATGAAAAAAAATTACAGGCTGGCAGCAACCTCAACAAACGTACAAAGAAAATGTAATTAAATGTTCTCCAATCATTAATATGAGTTGGTTGGGGAATTTTAAAGGGATAATGTATCCTGTCTTCACTACCCCATCACTGCAACTCGGAAATAAGGAGGCTCTATTCTAGTAATGGAATGTCTTCCAAATAGCACTTAGTGTCCTGAGAACTTTAGTTTAGCATTTTGGGGGAGAATAAGAGAGTCAAGACAATTAGAAGGCTGGCATAGTATCTTAATATAAAGAGAAATGAATTATATGTTGAGATATTTATGAGAGAGCAGGAAATTATATATAAGCAATGGGAAACAATGAATTATTACAAAAAGATAGTATTTGGCTAGGTCTGCCTAAGCCAAATCTTACATACTTGAGAATATCGACCTAATTAAAAAATATCTAAACTGACCAGACAAAACATATGTATGGTATCATGTTTTAAAATATATTTGTATGTGGTTCTCTAGATTGTCTAGAATGCTAACAGACATACATTCACTGGGTGGTTTACTAACCCACGATTTCATTATATGCTAGACAGGTCTTTAAACCAAGAGTTATGGATGCTATGTGTGAGTAAATAAACATTAAAAATCTTTTGTAACTGTTTTATATCAGTTACAACTGAGCTTTCATTGTTTTTTATTTTCATGAATTTTTGCCCAGAGGTTTGAAATGTGACAATTGTCTCTGCCATAGAAAATTTTTCTTTTATAGCTAGGTCAGAACAGCATGAAATTATTTTTACTCTTGAGATATAACCTCTATTAATAGTGCCAGTGAGCTTTGGGCTCTTGGGGTGCAGCAGCATTTTCCAGTTGGTGCTGCGGTGTGAAGTGATTCTCTCCTGTCCAGCCTACCAAAGGCCTTCTTATTGACTATAACTGCATTGTGGCCTTTGTTTTTATTTTTCTACAAAGCCTTTGACTTATTTTGGAATAAAGAAGGACTATAAGAATTTCCACTGGATCAGTGAGTGGGGATATTCCTTGGCTAACTGTGTATTATTCTATTTCTAGAAATATATCACAAACAGCTATGGAGATGGTTTTTGTCATGTGGAAATTTAATGTGCAATACTGTTTAAGATTTGAATTATAGAAACACAGGAGGAGAATACAAAGTGTCTCAAATAAAAGGTTTGAAAGATATGTGGCTGATACTGTCTTTCTGTGTGTCACCCAGTTTATCATGGCCCATGTACATAAAATTCTTTTTGGTGTCTGCATCTAAAGGGGAATATGAGAAGATGGTAGAGAATATAGAGAAGCTTCAGTGCTTCTAGTACTATGTTCTGGGCCATCAAACAGAAATAAATGTGGGAGACCTTTAATTGCAATGAGAGTCACCACAGGACAGTAGAGAAAGAATTCAACAGGGATTCTTTAGTTGATTTGTGGCTATTAACAATGGGTCATTCAGAGCTTAAGAAGGAAGGGATCTGGCAGAAGTCAGTGGCTCTAATGATGGTTGTATTTCCATAACTACTTCCAAGCAGGCTCTGAAGCAACCTATAATAGTGTATTATACTAAGAGTCATTGTACAAAAAGTTGACCATTGTTTAGCCAGCTAAAGAAAAAATTATTTTTGTTTTATTTCAGTTAATGTTGAATTAGAATAATTTAACTTGCCTAAGAGAATTAATGAAACAGGTCTAAATCCCTGTGTGTTATTGTTTTTCACAAGGGGAGAATTATATTCTTCATTTGCTGCATCTTTTTACAAGGGTTTCCATCCTTTGTGTTTATACTAGGATTTGTTGATTTCTTCTGAAATATAAAGTTTTTAATCTACCTGAGTTGTTATTCATAGGATGAGTTTCAAAGAAAAGAAACAACATGCAACAGAAATAGGTACTAGATCATTTAGGTGATTCCTCCAGATTTTCCCACTTGTAACTCCTGATTTCAGTGGTCCCTCGCATTTGAATCTGGAGATTATCATCATCTAGATGTAAGGAGTCTGAAATAACTGAGAAGTAGCACTTGATGTTCTGGAACCTCATTTGTACCTACTCTTTGAGATAGTTGGGGGATGATCTCAAAAATAAAATCCCCAAAGGATTTTAATTTAAACTTTCTTCAAGGTAAAGTTTGATCATGGTTCTGAGCTCAGATAGATAAATAGCAGCTACTTCCATTTCTCTTGTGGGGTACCAGCCATCATAGAAACCAAGCATGAAATATTAATGTTTAAAGATACCCTAGAGATGATCCAACCCAACCTCTCCTCTCTAACTTCTCTCCTATGCATTTTATAGGTATAGGTACAATTTATTAGTGCTGAAGATAGGGAAATAATTCTACCTCCTGATTTATAGTCAATTTATATAAATACCAAACCACTTCCTGGTATTGGCTAGATATATGAAGGCAAAATAGAAAAGAGTTTATGGTTGACTGCTATCTTTTTTTATATAAAAGAAAACCTTTACCTATTTTATAGTTTACCAAATTATTGAGCTTAATAGCTGGCTCTACAAGCAGGATTTTGTCCTGTTATTTATGTTTTTCCTATTTATGTTCGATATCAAGCCAGTAGCATTTCATTGGCTCATGTGGAAGTGTACATTGAATTTCAGGGATGCTCTTGATATTTAATTATTGTTCTTGTGCTTCTGTAATATTGTCTCATCCCACCTCCAAAGTAGTGAGACATTTTCATTCTCTATATTGTATCCATCTAAAACAGAGTAAGTGCCCTAACACTAATATTTTATAGGGATGCCATAGGACACAGCTAATTCAACATGTTGAATTACAAATTCTTTTTAAAAAATGGAAATATAATCTCTACAGGCCAAATAGTATGAAAATGATGTTAGAGCAAACTTTTCCATAAAGTTATGATGGTTTAAGGCTAATGATGATATTTACTGAAGTACCCAAGGCTGTATTAGAGGGAAGGAAATTTTAAAAATATTTATGGACCGAAACTATGTTTGTCCAATGCAGTAGGCAAGTAGGCTCTGGAGTTGACTTAAGCAGAAGAATTTTCATTGGCATGGGCCTCAGGAAATGGACAAAATATAAACAAAGCTTGTCTTGGTTTTGACCTAGGGCAGTTGCTGTGAATACGTGCCTGACTGTTCACCTTAAGATAATGGCACTGAAGGTAAACAACCTGTCTCCTCATTAAAGCCAATTTGTGTATAGAGATAAGGGTGCCAGCAAACCAGGTTATTTAGTGGGTGTTAGAAATCATGGAGGTTAAATGTCAGTTTCCTACAGAGTTCTGTTAATACCACAAGGATGATGTTAATTTACACCCTAAAATAATAGACCCTGTCAGAGGTGTCTTGCTGATTCTCTCTGTGACTTCATGTCCTCAGTGTGGGATGTCATTCAAATAAGGTGCAGAAAGCATCACATGGCTTCCAGCTTTGTTTTAATTAAAGTGTATTACTTACAGACTTATTATGTACTTGGTGCTTACTTATCCCCCAAAATGTCACCTTAGTGTGCCTCTTGACTCCTGGTGGTGACCTCAGTGGCAACAGTTCCTCAGTGTGATAATTACTTAGCTGTCACTCTGGCTGCTTGGATGGCAGTGGCAGTGCACCTCTTTGGCAAAGTTGTAATGTGTATATAGTGTACCTTTGACGCTGTTAGTTGTGCATCTAGCAGGATCTGAATGGGCTAGGCTGAAGTCATTTGGAACAAAATTCAGAAATAAAAAAGTCAAAAGCTAGACAGTGCTTTTTGAAACATATTTCTTGGATCACTTGCACAAAAAAGTATATGGTCCAGTATGCAGAAAAGGCAGATTCTTGACCCCAGATTTGCAGGATCAGAATCTCTGGGGATGAGCCCTAGAATGCATTCATTTTTAATATGCTTTCCAGGTAATTCTGAGATCACAGGCTGAATTTTAAGTACTACTAAGCCAGGGAAATTAACCTGGGCCTAAGGGGTAGCTTAGGGAGAAATGTCAACAGGTAAATGTGAACTTTTAAAAAAATGATAAAATTAGCATCTCTTCATGGAGTAGGGAATTTAGCCATTTCTGCTTTTTTTTTTTTTTTTTTTGTGAACACTTACTTCCTTGTCTTTACTGTGTCACTGATTTTATTATTGATTTATAAACACTGTTCATATGTAAGAGAAATTAACCTCTGTCATATGTGTGGCAACTGTTTTTTACTTAAAAATTTTTTTTTTGCAATTGAGAATGATTATATTTTTACATAGAAAGGCTATTATAAACAATCCTGCTATCAGTTCCTTATTGCTTTGCTAGCAAATTATTGTAAACTTAGTGCCTAAAAACAACACAAACTCATTATCTTACAGCTCTGAGCGTCCAAAGTCCAAAATGAAGTAAGTCTGTGTTCCTGCTCACCAACACTGACCCCAAAAGTAATGGCAGACTTTAAACTTTAGCCAATTTGTAGGATAGATACTTGTATCTCATATTCCTTTTCCTGATTATTTTAGGTTGAATATCTTTACATATATTTATTAACCATTTGGAAATTTTCTCTCTTTTTCCTTTTGTCTATTTGTCTATCCTTATGTTAGTCCTAACCTGTCTTAATTGCATAGCTTTATAGCAAGTCTTGATATCCGATAGAGCAAGTTCTCCCACCTTGTTCAGTTCTAGAGTGTTTTGGCTGTTCTCGGCCAATAGCATTTCCTGTACATTTTAGAATCGCCCCTTTCACAAGCAAACTAGGAAGTTGATTAAGATTGCACAATATTTTTAAATAAACTAGGAAGAATTGTTGAAATCTCAATTTTGAGTCATGTATTGAAACATACAAACAAGGAACATTCTTTTATATTTTAGGTCTTATTTAATAAAGTTTTATTATTTTTTCACTATTAAGGTCTTACAGAAACCCTTTTAAGGCTTATTCTTTAATACTATTATAAATTATACATGTTCTTTAATTATAGCTTCTAACATTTATTTTCTTTCATATGGAAATACAATTGATTTTGGCTTTTGATTTCTGTATCCAACAATTTTGCTAAACCTACCTATTTTTTTCAAATTTTATTAAATTTATTGGGGTGATATTGGTTAATAAAATTATATAGGTTTCAAGTGAACAATTCTATAAGGCATCATTTGTATATTGCATGTGTGTTCAGCATCCAAAGTCAATTCTCCTTTTGTCACCATATATTTTACCCCCTTTATCTTTTTCTACCTCTCCCCATCCCTCTTTCCCTTTGGTAACCATCATACTGTTGTCTGTGACTATGAGTTTTTGTTTTTTTGTTCATATGGCTAAACCCCTATTTTTAATCTGAATATTTCTGAAGATTCTTTTGGATTTTAACTACACAGTTATTTAATTTGACAATAATGATTGTCTTGTTTCTTTCTTTCCAATCCCTATAACCTTTCCCTTCTACTTTTGTACCATTGGTAAAGTGTTAAATGCAACTTTGATAGTGAGCATTGTTATTTTATTTCTCTGTTTCATAAAGAAAGCTTTTAATGTTGTACCATTACATATGATGTTCCTCTTTTGGATTTTATAACTAGTTTGTATAAAGTTAAGAAAACCTACTCAATTACTTACTAAGAATATCATGAACATATGTTTTACTAAATATGTCCCATACATTGAGAAGAGGCATCATTGTTCCAAAGAGCAATTCAGAAAAGGAAGTTTTATTAGGAATAGTGGGAATTTGACAAGCAATATGATGTAATCTGGGGGCTCAGTTCTCGCAGACTTTCAATGCAAGGATGGATTTTAGAAAAATTGAGTAGTGAATGGATGGCATTTATTCATGCATTCAAGAAATAATTACTGCCCAGCCGGGCATGGCTCAGCGGTTGAGCATCGACCTAGGATCCAGGCGATCCGGGTTCGATTCCCAGTCAGGGCACATGCCCGGGTGGCGGGCTTGATCAATGGCTCTCTCATCATTGATGTTTCTATCTCTCTCTCTCTCCCTCTCCTTTCCTCTCTCTGAAATCAATAAAGATATATTAAAAAAAAAAAAGAAAAGAAAGAATTACTGAGTTTTGCTTGTCATTCTGCTGACCTCTGTGCATCAGACATTAATTCAAAATTTGTTATTTAATTGCTTACATATCCAACTAATGACAAGAAAACTTTTTGGTGTACCTTTATAAATAAACTAAGTGCAAGAACATGTCTTAGAGACTGAGGGAACTAGCATGATGGTTAGAAATAACTTATTAAAATGTTGTAGTTATGTCTACCAAAAATGATGACTCTAATTGACTCATAGCCCTTCTTTCTGGAAGTAAATAGACATCAAAATCAATTATCTGTTAAGGTCATTCCTAACTGTGTAACAGTAAAGCTAAGTCATGTATTATAGAAGAGTGATTATATGACTAACACTCTATGAGCATAAGCATCTAATTAACATAAATGTCACAATATCAGAAAGGTACATTATTAATTACAAAGGGGACCTGAAAATTTTCCTATTTCATACCATTGGGTTTTATTATCCAATCTATCAATATTTTAGCTTATGCCCATTCTTATTTACAGCAGAATGTTCAAGAAAGACCTTTTAAATCAGAAATTTCTGAGGTTTCTTGTAGCATGTTTTACCAGACAGTGCTGCCGAGTATACCAGTGGTTGTAAGAGACCCTGTTGGTGCCCTCTCCATATTTTTCCCTTATCATTTCTGTGCCCACACACCCAAATTCTAACTGTCAATGCTTGTGCTTCTTTACTTCACTGGTGCCATAGCCACTTTACCCATCTGTACAGCAGGCGCAGGGAATTCTGTCCCCAGAGGCAACCCTTAACTATTAACTGGTGTTAGCTGTTGTCTAAATACACAATTTCCCTCATTTCTGGGATGCTTTTACTCTGCAGTGCCTGAGTTGAACTACACTGGTTCCCAGGGTTTTCTCCAGGAGGGCTGAGCTTCAACTGCCCATGGTGGTAACTGGCTGATAGCATACATTTCATCAGCTGCTTTCCCTTTTCCATCTCCCCAGTCCCTACCAGTAGTTCCTTCACTTACCCTCCCCCTCTAGATTGTCCTCAAATTCTGTTTCAGGGTCTACCTCTAGGAGAACCCAATTTAAGATGTGATCAAGCCCGGCCGGGTGTGGCTCAGCGGTTGAGCGTTGACCTAGGATCCGGGCGATCGGGGTTCAATTCCTGGTCAGGGCACAGGCCCAGTTTCGGGCTTGATCAATGACTCATCATTGATGTTTCTATCTCTCTCTCCCCTCCTTTCCTCTCTCTGAAATCAATAAAGATATATTTTTTTAAAAAAATGTGATCAAAAGAAACTGACAATTTATCAAGCAGAAAATGACATTTTGAAAGTGATGTCTACCAATTTGAGTATAGAAATATATTTTTCTGTGAGAAATGTGACACATTACATTCTGAGTCCAATCAGGTATGAATCTTAGTAATAATTGGAGCTTGACATTTTGAGCAGTTCTGAAAAAGTTCTTGAGTCAGAGGCTGTCCTAGGTCTTATGTGAGGGAAGATGAGTGGGACACAGACATATAGCACTGGGACATACTGAGTTTGTCATAATTAAGCTTTGTTTGTAAAATTAAGAAAAGTAACCGGGCCGAGCGTGGCTCAGAAGTTGAGCATCGACCTGGGATCCAGACGATCGGGGTTTAATTCCCGGTCAGGGCACATGGGCCCAGGTTGCGGGTTCGATCAATGACTCTCATCATTGATGTTTCTGTCTCTCTCTCTCCCTCTCCTTTCCTCTCTCTGAAATCAATAAAGATATATATATATATTTTTTTTTAAAAAAAGGGCCCGGCCGGGCATGGCTCAGAGGTTGAACATTGACCTAGGATCTAGGAGATCGGGGTTCAATTCCTGGTCAGGGCACAAGCCCGGGTTGCAGGCTAGGCAGCCGATCAATGACTCTCTCATCATTGATGTTTCTATCTCTCTTTCTCCCCCTTCCTTTACTCTCTCTGAAATCAATAAAGATATGTTAAAAAAGAAAAAAAAAGAAAAGTAAGTTCCAGGGGCAACTGAAGTTTGTCTTATTTGAACTCAATCACCAACCACATGCACAGAAACTGGTATGATTTTTAAACTTTTTGAATAATATTCTCCATTTGTAGTTATTGAGTTTTTTCAAGACATTTTAAAATGAGATTTTAATTTAATCAATTGCTCAGAGCCCTTTTTCCAATTTCTTTTTTAAATGTTACTTTACTAAACTGCCTGAAGTTTTTTGTTTTATTTTTGTCAGTTATTGGCTACCAACCTGTTACGGTCAAACCAGGTAGTAGGAGTCCCTAATCAATAAAGCTAACTAACTATAGGTTATCGACTACCACTCACTCACCTGGGTTGTTGCCGTCTCTTTCTAACGAATCTTGATTCTGTGATTTCCTTCCAAGAGTTTCAGCACAGTAGGTAGAGTGGTCTTTTAAAAATACAAATCTGAGCAGAGCACTTCTCTGCCTAAGCTTTCCAGTGGCTATTTCAAGCAAAGTCAGGATTCTTACTATGGCCTGCAAGGTCAAACACAATCGCATCCCTTGTTACCTTTCAGGCTTCATTTCTTACTGCTTACCTTCTTTCCCTCTCTCTAGCCACTTGGGTCTCCTTCTTTTTCTCTGAATACCCCAAGCATGTGCCTGCCCCAGGGTTTTTCCTTATGTAAAAGAACATCACTCCCATCCTATACTCCCTATCCTAAGTTGCCCTGCTTTATTTTCTCTTGAGCATTTACTGCCAACTAACTCACCATATATTTAATTGTTTACTCGTTTATTGTCAGACCTTCTCTAGCCCCTCTCTATCCTGAATATTAACTCCATAACAAGAAGGACTATTCTGTTCGCTGTCATATCACCACTGCTTGGCACAATTATTAGGCATTCATCTGCAGGATGAATAAACTAATAATGAATGAATGAATGAAAGAACATGTTGGTTGAGGACAGAATTCCTGAGAAAATGGTACTTAAATTGCTACCTAAAGATGAAAGGAGGCAACTATAGGACAATGAGGAAGAGAATGTTCCAGGTAGAGTGAATACCAGTTGCAAAGAAAGGTCAAGGCCGTTCTTCAATGTATTTCCTATCACCTCGATTACAACTTTCCTAGTCCAAACCACCATCATTTTCATGCCAGACCAGGCAGGCCCCTGTAGGTTATTCTAGGCTGAACAGTGAAAAGCCATTGAAATTCTTAAAATAGAGAATTTACTTAATCTAATTTATATTTTAGAAGGCTACCTGACTCATAGGTAGAAAATTGTTTGAAGAAGATAAATGGGAGTAGAGGGACTACTTAAGAGGCCGTTCTGGTAGGTTGGTGGCAGATTCAGATGGACTGAGATATATCTCGGTTATAGAATCAACAGGACCTAATGGATCAAATGTTAGGGGTGACAGAAAGGATGAAATGAAGGAGATGTACTTAGTTTCTGGCTTGAGCAATGGGTCAGTGGGGTCATATTCACTGGGAGGAGGGATATTGGGGTGGTAAAATTATAAGTTAAATTTTGAACATTTAAAAAGGGGCCTTGGAGGAGCTCTCACAGAGATAGTGTAGANGGTGGTAAAATTATAAGTTAAATTTTGAACATTTAAAAAGGGGCCTTGGAGGAGCTCTCACAGAGATAGTGTCTTAAGAGGAGAGGTCCTGGGGCCAAACTTTAGAAGAACATCACCATTTAAAAGTTTAGTAAGTGGGGCCCAGCTAGCATGGCTCAGTGGTTGAGCATTGACCTATGAACCAGAAAGTGATGGTTCGACTCCTGGTCAGGCCACATGTCTGGGTGTCAGCAGATCAAAGACTCTCATCAATGATGTTTCTATCACTCTCCCTCTTCCTCTCTCTGAAATCAATAAAAAACATATTTTTTAAAAAAGTTGAATTAGCGGGGAACCAAAAAAAAAAATGAATGAGAATGACAATACAAAATAAATAATACCCTGAAAGGATGGTGTTATAAAAGCCAAGAAAGAAGTGTTTCAAGGAAGAGAGAATTTCATATTCTTCCCAGACCTTATGAAAGACAAGGACAGAAAAGCAGACCTGTATTTGGCAATGTATAGGTCTTAAACAAATTTGACAAGGGCCATTTTGATGGACTGATGGATGAGGGTCCAAGTCTGATGGGACATGACAAAGAAAAGAAAGCATGTGTACATGAGTCTTTAGAAGTTTGGTGAAACAAATAAATAAAAAGTGAGGTAATTGGTAGGAGGAGGGGTGCTGATGGAAATGCTTCAGAAGAGAGGGAGAGAAAGAGAGAGAGAGAGAGAGGAGACATAGGAGAGAGACTATTAGGGAAGGAGCAAAGTCCTTGAGCACAAATGGAGAGTGTCTTTTTATATGAGTAGGACACTAACTTCATTGTAATAGGCAGGGGAAAAAATGGGTGCACATGCAGGTGTATGTGTAGGTTTGGCAGAGGAAGATGAGTGGATTCAAGATTGATGACTTGTTTTCTCAGTAAACAATAGGATTAGATCACCAACTGAGAAGGAAAGAGGGGGCGTGGGAGGTTTGAGGACAAAGAAGGTATGGAATAGTGACCTAGTCTAATGAGATGGGAAGTCTATCAAAGAACCAGGATTGTAAAGAAGCAGGTGTTACTCTATGATTGAGATCATGTATTTAAAATGAAAAAGTCAACTCACTTGAATCATCCCTTTAGCTGTTTGTGTGCAGACAGAGCTGGAGGGTGAAAGATTTGGGATATGTAAATGGAAATGCAGGACAAGGAGATTTGAAGGTATTCACCAAGAGGTGACCAGAGTTAGACTTCTAAAGCTTGATTAGATAAAGAGGGAAGTGAAGCTACTGGAGAGTGAGAAAGTGATTGGAGGCCCCCAAAATGGGAGTTTTGATGAAGGGGAGGAATTGCAACAATTCCTTAATTACTTAAGCAAGTGAGCGAGAAGGATAACAAGGGAGTAGAACTGAGGCATCCAGGTGCTGTCATGCTGGATTAGGAAGAGAGTGGCTGAGGTGGAGTGGGGAAAATGGGGGTCTAGCAACTAAGAATTAGAGTGTTAAGTGCCTCACCTATGTGGTCATTGAAGTTGCCATGAACACCCTCAAAAATTGGAGAAATCCCAGAAGATAGTGGCCCAGCAACAGTGGGACATTATTAAGAAATCGGTCAGTAAATGGCACACAGAGGATACACGGG